TTTTTTTTAAGAAAGAAAGAAAAGGCCAAAGCAGAATTTTTTTCAAAGCCATTAAAACAGTAATGAAAAGGATAAAAAATTCCCATTAATTTGAACGGAAACAGATATCTTTATATGCCTGGAAAAGCAAATAAAAAATTTCTACAAAAATCTGTTTTTAAGACCCATCAAAGTGAGGAACAGCCTTATGATCTAATATTATAGAGCATTTTTATCTGCAAAACAGCTCTCCTTTCTATCACTGTAAGTGCCACTGGTTATGGCTGAAACCTTTAGTTATATATGCACATTCTGTAAACTGCCAGTCAAGCCAAATGCGTCTGACCATTGTAATGTTTTTGTTCTCTTTGCTGAAATGGGAGAGTTGTTGTATAAAGCATAATAACAGGATGCTTCAACAATGTACAAACAGTTTGGAGAGAAAATGAAAGAGACAAATTTAATATCAGACTCTGGCTAAGGAATGTACTTTGACGTTGGTGGGCTGCCAAGGAATCACTTGAATAAAGCAGCAGAGACACAGTTACTTCCAGTGACACTGTGGCTCAGTATTCCTCTGCAGAAATTGATTTGTCTGATCATATAAAAGGAGTCAGAGACAAGATTGAGCAAGAGAATTCCTCACTTGGCATCCATGGATTGAGGCATCCAGAATAAAAACCCCTTCCATTTTAATATGCCAAGAAGAAGGCTTGGTGTCTCTCAGTGACATCAGTAAAGTCTCAGCCTCAGGAGTAAAGACTTTTAGGATAAATTGGCAATGCCAGCACCTCAGTTAAGAGGAAGGCTCCTCCCCAAAGCAGCAAGGGTGGGATGACATTAAGGGGTGACCCACTGTTATATTATTGCATTATCTTCTATCATTATTATCATCCGGAATTCATTTGTCTAAAATGTCACTATGGCTTGGATTTGCCATACTTAGTGATTTATACTTGGAACTGCGAGGTTTCCAAATCAGTGCTCTTCCCCTAAATCCACAAGGCATCTACGATTATATTTTAAGACATGTGTTGAATTTTTTTTCTTCATCCAGGCTTTCTCTATGTGAATGTTATGAATAAATAGTTTTGTATCCTCTTTTCCCCTCCCCCTTTAATGAATACATCTTCATATTGTTTGCATTTATCACTGTATTTTAATAATTTTGATGTTTCTAATTGTAAACTTACCTAAGAAAGAGACTATATGAGAAATGTAATAGCAGTGCCAAATAAATAAAGATTATTAGATGGGAATAACTACCCATTAATCCAAACCTCTTGCTTCCACTGGGCCAGTGACACACCGTTAATACAAGAGGTAAATTCTTTTTCAAACTCAGCAATAGTGTTCTTTAGCAATGGGACCTTCTGCTTTGCTCCATATAGTCTTATCACTTATTTGGGGATGAAAATTATTTCCCATAAATATTAACCTAGCCCTTGATCAGCGCTTGGTAAGGGGATGATGCTATTTGGTATTTCACATACAGTAGTACAAACACAGTATTGTGTAACTCTGTAATACCCATTCTGGTTCACACATACATATCTGTTTTAGTTTTATCCACAGATCTAAAGGCTCCTAATGTGGAATTACATGTATGTTTTAACTGGAAGAGCTTGAATGGGAGCTGCAAAATATGTTGGGGCACTAAAAGAGGGTTGTGTAGGTGATGAAGGTGAGATAGAAGGTTAATAAAAGTATCTATGAAGAATTAATGTTCTACATTATAAATATATTCTGTTCAAGGAAGTTTAGAACCTGTTTGCTTGCTCTGAAATAGGAAGCTTGATTAAAACATCAACTAGTAATTTTAACCAAACTCCACACTGTTTTATACTTCCACATTAGCAGCTTCTGGATCTAGCTGTCTATGCCTCAAATTGTTGCATTTGCTTACCTGGGCATCAAACTTTCCAGCGTTGTGGAGAAACGTCATGCAGATCTCATGTAAACCTCGAATCTCACAAGAGTTGTTTTCAAAGCACTCAAATACACTGCACCCAACATCACCAGCACTGACCAGGCAGTGCTGGATTTCAGCTGAAAATGAACAGTCACCACAGTAAATGTCTAAAACTATTACACATACTTGTAGGCAAAAGATTACTTTGTTAACAACTTCTTCCTTTAAAAAGGGGAACAAAGTGTAATGCATGAGATATAAACAACTTCCCTTGCTTTGCAAACAATTATATGATCAAAACAGAAAGTCACTATTAAAACCATGACCAAACTAACTTACTAACACAAGTCAATATGATGCAGTTGTTTAAATTATTACATTGAACTGGGGAGACAAGTTAAAATCTCCACCCAAGCCATGAAAATCACTGCGTGAACTCTCATTCTAACCTACCTCAAAAGGTTGTTGTATAGATAAAATGGGATGAGATTCAAGTATACCTCTTTGATCATCATGGAAGGAAAGTTAATTAAAAATATTGTGTTGATTTGATCTTCATGAATTACGGTCCAAAATTCAATACTAGTTCAAGGAAAACTGCATCTGAGGAAGTTATGCAACTATTTATTGGGTCTTCTCATCTGAACTAGCATCCTCAAATACTTTCCTCAAAGTAAGCACATTTTTAAATTAATGAAATCATTTGCAAAGCTTCTGATAAATCTGCAGGGCTTTTTCTATTCCATGCCTATTTCTATTCCATACCTATTTACCAGCATATACCACCACTGTGTTAATTGGGGTAAGTGTCAAACTGAAACCTATATCCCTGACAACAACAATAACAGTAAAATTAGACATTCTGGAACTCCCTCCCTCCAAGGGTATGCAAGCCACAGAAGACCCTAGAGGTTTCATTCAATTTATTAAAGAAAATGGGAATGTCTAAAAGGCCAAGTAGAAGCCCATCCTGGGATTAGTTTCACAGAAACAGAACAGTGCAAAAGAAATATGCAGCCAACCCCTCCTTTGAAGAAAAAGAACAAAAACAAAACCCAAACGATCGGACCGGAGCCTGAAAAAGCAAAACGGGATACTGTATTGCCGCCACATCGCCTTCTCTTCTCAGCAAGGCTGTCTGCATTGTTTTATACATAAAGGGGAAGCTGCACATAGCGAAGAGGGAGAAGGAGTTTCTTTGTCCAGCGTTGTGTAAGTGTGCAGCTTGGATTTAGGTGCAGCTTTCGCTTCAGGCTGGCCTCGGGTCCGATGCAAGAGTTCCGAGCATACGCTCTGGCCCCGCGGGCTGAGAACCGCCTCGAGGGGCGATTCACGTGAGGAAGCAGTTCTCTACCCCGGGTGCACGGAGCGTCTGTACTGTATATCCCCGCCTGTCCTGTGGGTAGTTCTTCGAAGCCTTGGGCAGCCAGCGCCCCTACTGTGAACAAGTGGGGAACAGCCGGAAAGGGGTCTCCCAAATTTCTTTCCACGCACGCTGGGCAAAAGATCCGAAAAGATTCCAAGAAAGGAGCACTAAAAGCATTAAAAGATTATTTAAAAAAAAGTGGTGGGAGAAAATACCCCTGCTGGTTGGATGCCTCTCTTACAGCAGAAAAAGGATTTTCAGCACTTTGGCTCGGGTCTACTCACTTCTGAACGCTTTCCCCTTTCTCTATTAAATGTTAAACCTGCGCTGACGCCTGTGCCCTCCCTCCTTCCGCCTTTTTCTTTTATTTAAAGGATGGGAGCTGACCAGTTTACGACGTGCAAAGACCAACATAGTTCCGCAAGTCCTTCGAATCGTGGGTTTTTATTTTTAAGCAGAGAAATAGAGGGAGGGAGCACTATCCTCCTGATTAAAATGAAAATCTGATTTAACTTTCACTACAGTACTGCGTGCCCAGTGCGATGACTTTCTTTGCCTGCTTAGAAGATGGAAGGGCTGCCTCTGCACAGTAGTTCAAATGGTGGAACACGTGCTTGGCTAGCCAGCGCTTCCAAGCTGCAGGAAGCGCTTCTCTTCCCTTAACTGACTTCTGCTTGTCACTCCCCGCGCCTACAAGAACGATGCTTATCACCTAGCGACGCATCTCCTGTCTCAGACACACGCCGCACCGAAGTCTAATCTCAAAAAATTGGAGTACAACTGGTTCTGGACTTAAAACGCAGTTTCCTCGCCTCAGAAATGGAAAACACACGGATGCGTTTTGAACCTCAAGAAATAATCACCTACCTGAATTTTGCAGAGACATCCGCCCTTTTTGCTGAGGAGCTCTCTCCTGGACACCTTCCGGAGGGTGGGTGGCTTCGGTGCCCACCACCGCATCAACGCTTGCAAAGACCAACGCCAGGGTCAGCACTTTCCGTAAGCACTCCGCACACATGGTCCTTGTGTGTACCTAACCACGCCGACTGGAGGCCGCCAAGCCCCCTCTCTCTCTTCGCTTCTTTGCAAAAGACCCGGGATCTCCGATCTTCCCACCTACGCGCACACAGAGCGAAGTGAACGGCGCTGATAGAAGTACTGAAAGTGGCCCGGAAAGGCAACCGATGGTTCCTCAAATATGTCTCAAAGCTCGGGTGTCACTTGAATGAAGGAGTCCAGCAGATGTTGTCCGCCAACCCGACCAACCGGAGCCTCTATTTCACTCTGACACCAGCTCGGGGGCGTGGCCTTCTCCAAAGTATTACTACGCACTCGAGAGAGCCGCGATTATAGCTCGGGATGCGAAGTTGCTGCATCGAACTGCAGGTTGCACAAGCAAGTAGCGGCGGTCGTGTAAGTAGTAGATCACGACAAAGCCAAGTGTTTTGCACAATCGAATGCAAGATCGGCGGGAAAAGGCACGCTATTGCAGTGAGAACAGAAAGTTTGGGGTGACTTCCCCCCCAAGATTGGCTTAGTATACCCCCTCTGTAGGTACGCAGGAGACTATACCACCGGGGATGCTAGCAATAATTTTGCCAAGGTAGACAAAGGTCACTAGTTCAGGAGAGATTTCTTTCGCTAATGGAAGATTCTCTTTGTCTCGTGTAACTGCAACTGAACTGGTGCAAGTAACACACGCGCGACCTGAGGGTAGGTTGCGAAGATCCAATTTCGAATGGGCGCTCGAGACAGAGCATATGGTGGCAAGAGGATCCCAAAGCATTTGCAATCCGCTCGTGTTGCTCTGAAAGGGGAAGGAAAAGACAGTCGAGATTTCATTTGAGATCCAGTCGAGTTCCTGGGTCTGAGCAAGAGGACTTTACATTGGGTAATACGCACGCCCCGGTTGATATTAGTAACCAGGCTACGTTCTTTGATGATCTGGATTAATTTTCTTCACAACTTAGTTGGCAGCACGAGCTGTTTATAACTGCCTAGAACTCCTGCTCCCTTCCCTGATACGGGGTGGGAGGGACTCAGAGACAAGGATTTGTGCCCTTTTGCTGAATGGAAAAATAAAGATGGAAAATGTTCCAATGGAAAAAAAGAGTTGGTTTGAAACTCCACATTGAACCTTCTCCATCCCCAATCCTATCGCGCTCCCAGTCACGAGGATTTCATTTTGCAGGCCTGCGGATTATTGGGGAGGGGGGCGGGAACACATGAAACCCTTTCTTCTGTAACTCCACCGCAGTCGTTGCATCATCTCTGCTTTATACTCACGGATTTGCTTTTTAAAAAAAGTCCTGCCCCTCTTCCTGCCCTCCTTTTTTTCCGCTCCGCATGGAACCTGAGGCAACTGAAACCTCTTCCCAAGGACGGCGAAGTGGTCCCACCTCGGATTGCCACCGAAAGCAAGCCGTCCGGCTGAGTCATCCGGCGGCAGCTAACTGCAAAGTATCGATAATCAATTCAAATAAGCCACCATCCGCCTCCCCTTTTGCTTGGAGGAAGGCGGGAAAAGCAGGTGGTGGGCTGCGGGGGCGCGCCTCTCCCCCCCCCCCCCCCCCCCCCCTTTGCTGGGGGGGAGGGGGGAAAAGGGAGGGGGGGGGGGCGGGGGGCCGCCTCTCCCCCCCCCCCCCGGCTTCCTCCTGCACTTAAGCTGCAGCAACCGACTTTGGAGATTTCATCAGACGCGCCGCCAACTTCTTGCCTCCAGCGCTCTACTGTGAGGGAAACGCGACGCGGACTCCCCGGGCCTGTCTGGCTAGTGCGAAGCTGCGAGCCGAAGAGGAGGAGAAGGAGCAAACGGCTGGGTCCCGGCGCTCTAGGTTAGGGCCGGGCCGAGCCGACTTCCCGGAGGAGGAGGGGCGCAGCGCGGGGAGGAATGTCTTCAGCTGCCGCCGCCGCCGCCGCCGCCGCCACGATTCTCCTGCTCCCAGCTGTCAAAATGCACTTGAGAGAATCCACTCACACCTCCAGAAGCAAACGGTGCTCTGGGAGGAAGACGTGACATTGCGCGGCATAGCCATGGAGGTCTTTCTTCCACTCCCCTCCGCCTCCATCCAGCGCCGGGCATAGAAACCACGTTTCCTTTCAAGCCGCCTGCTGTACAAAGCATCACAAACTTTCTTTGTTAAGATTTTTCCAGGCCCAGCGTTGTGCAGAGAAAAAAGAGAGGGGCGGGTAATTCGGGAAGATCATTTTGTAGGCTTTGGCTCTTTATTTATGATGGATCCTGTGTCATTCCTTCCAATAGTTGCCATGTCTTTCATCACAAAGCCTTCCCGAGGACGATTAAAAGCCGAAAATAATTATTGTATGCCACAAGCCAAACACTCAGTACAGCAGCATTTTAAAACAATAGACAAAGCCTGCAGTGTGCAACGTTTAATTAAAAGCGAGCTGGAATAGAATTTTTTAACACGCTCTTGGATTCCAGGAAAGATGCATTTTTCATCCCGGTGGTGGGGGTTTTCAAAAAATAATGTGCCACCACCACTGAAAAAGCCCTGTGTTCTATGGATTAGACATACCGCCCAATTGCAGTATAGCTCCACAGTCACAGGTATGCACAACAGAATTTAAAGAGGATTATTTTGAGAAAAATTGAGGATTTGCAGGGTTAAGCAGAGAGGAGACTCACAAAAACCAAAGCAATGTTGACTATAAACACCATCGATTCCAGTGGTTTATTCTTAAGTATGCTTAGGTTTGGATTCCATTAGAACTCAGTGCTTTCACTCGGTTAACTGAAAACACAACCAAAGACTTTGTATTGCTACTGAATTAAAATGCTGTTGAGCGGGCACCAAGCAATGCTAGCATGACATTTGCCCTCCCATTCCCAACTCCTGCCCCTCCGTCACTGCCTCTGCCAAGTCGCTGCCAAGTGGTATCCTGATTTGTGAGTGTGACATTCACTATCATCGGGGTGATTTCTTTTCTCCTCTGACTTTATTGCCATACCTTTTCAGCACATAAGATGGTTTGTGCTATTCCCAGGCTCTGAAGCAGTTCAGCTCGCTCTCTTCCTGGGCCTTTGCCCACTACTGATAAAGGGTATTCCTCATGCGTGTCTAACTGTGTACAAACATGCCCTGACAACATCCTTTTCCTGTCTCCTGATGTTGGCTTTGATCTGGAGTGAAATGGCTTTAAGTTCTAAAGAACTTAACTGGTGTTAAAGTAGTGGTTTCCCCCTCAGTCTCCCAGCATCTAACAGCACCCGCCATTTGTCTGAAATCTTTTATACTTTGCCATTTTGGAGGTAAAGTCAGGTGACTGGTAGTGGAAGGAATCAGAACAGATACTGGGTGTTTTGGGCTGATGTTGAAGGGTTCCTTCTTAACGATTCCCCGGTTGGCCTCAGGTGGTTGTCTCCAAAAAGGCCGAACACAGCACACTGTGCTGACGACCTGCCAGAATTGCGTGATAATGCCAGAATGCCCAGCGCACAGTACTGTAAGTGCTTTAACTCTGTGGCCCTTCTTGCTTTTGTGCAAGACTAAAAGAACAAAGGAGTGCAGTGATGGGACACCCCCTACCCCACCCCATCCCATCCCACCCCTTTGCCTCTGAATAAAGCACAGAGAAATTCGGAAACTGGTATTTGGTGTCTTTATAAAGAAAGGAATGGAAGAGGAGAAGAACCTTAAGGCGGTGCTTGGGACTGAGCTCTCTTCACGATTTCAGTCTGTTTTTTATCTTTACCCACCTTACATGATGACAGGATGGGTATAGGAGGAGGGGCACAGGAAAGAGCCCGAGTCCTGAAGGAAGATCCTGCTGCAGTGCTGTGATTGGCGGACTTTCCTGTTGGCTGGGTAGGCACAAAACAGAGGAAAGCAGACTGGGGGGAATCAACCAATACTGTAGCTGTGCTTGTCATGTGCTGTGCACACACAACATTAGGAGAGCACCATTCAGTAGTGAGTTACAACAGACGCAGAATAGAGATTGGCAGGCAGGTAGCAAAATTCATGCTGTTTTTTTTCCCTTGCAGATACAGGGATGAGTGGATAGCACTTTAATTCAGCAGTATGGAAAGGCCCTGAACTGTCATTAGCTATACTGGATAATAGTAGTATTTTTTTAACCTTTTAGCCAATATTATCCCATCATAGCTTCAACATTTGCAAAATGTTACTGCTTGGTCACTATGTATGTATGTATGTATGTGCAAATAATCTATTTCCCACCTTTCTTCTAGAAGCTCAAGGTATAGCAGTGCCTCCAAAATACTACTGTCATTCCAACGGAGCAAACGATAATGTAGGTTCTGTTTCCACTGCTGAACTAAAGCGTGAGCCATCCATCTGTGAATCATTGCAAAATAATAATATATTTAATAACAATAAAATAATAATAAAATAACACCAGCATAAATGCAGTTCCCATTGTCAATTCCTATCCTGTCCCTATTATGTTGAGTCATTGCTAAATAGTGAGTATACCAGTTGTAATAGCTAAGATGATTGGTTTTCTTGTCTGACTTTGCTATAGTCCCTTTTAAGTATAACACCACACAGCAGGAAAAGATCAGTCAATTGTGGCACTATAGCAGAAATAGGAGGAGTTAACCACCTCCTGTTCAAGGTAGAGAGTGGCAAAGCATAACAGGTTTTGCACACCCTGAGCCTAACTTTGGATGATGTTGGAATAAGGAAGCAAATACCTTTATGCCAGTAGAGCTGATTATGACTCAAGACTGTTTCCCTCATGCACTGCAGAGAAAATAAGGGCAATATTGAGCCTTCTCCCTCTGTTGAGTTGAGTGCTTTCCACCCATTGATGAGCTGGCAGAAAACTATACCAGGATGAAATTTGCTGTTCCCTGATGCCAGTCCCCATCCTGCCTCTGCTACTTCTGTTCTCTATTACCCCCGACCCTAGTCTACAGAAAGTCTTACTTATTTTTTAAATTTAATCCCACCTTTTTGTTGGAGCTAGGGAGCGCCCTTTGCATCTGGATAAACTCTGAATCCCAGTCTCATCTTCTGTTTTCAATTTCTTTGAAGTGCTTTTTTTTACTCCAAAGTAGCACATTCAGTATTGCTCTCCTCCCTCTTCCATTGCTGAAATTTTTTGATTTGAGATTGTGTGTGATCCAACGCTGATTTAGATAGGAAGAAGGAGCACATGGCATAGGCTTCCAAAGACTAGGTGAACTACAAATTGCAGGTAAGATAGTATATGTTTAAATGCCTGTGCATTAAAAAAAAACATAAGTAAATAAAGAAGCAGGGGACATGGGAGGCTAGCATACCACAGACAAAGATTCCATTTAGCATTTGCACTGATATGTCCCTCATATGCAATGTACTGTGGTCACTGGATTCTGTGGGGAACCATTCTAAAATGTAGTCCTCATATGATCAGAAATAGTGCATTCCAGGAGATTATGGCTTTATGTGCCTTTAGGGAGAGTGCAGTGTATTGGACCTGGACCTCCTTCCAGTTCCTGAAGTACCCAAATTATTGAGAATCTCTTACAGCAGATTGCATAGCCTAGACCATGATACGCTTTCTGTTCTAGAAGGTGTGGAAGGAATAGTCAAGTGGAACAAAACATGTGAATGTTCAAATTCAGTGTTCAAATTTGCACCCAAGACATATTTTTATATCCGTTAGAAAAGTGCAGACTACAGCTAGTTAGGTTCTCACATACTGTTTTTGCATTTCTTTTAGTGATGTATTAGAGCTAAAAATGCCTTTAGTTCTGGAGAGAGACCTTGCATATCTCATCTTAAATGAATGCTGAAAATACTTTAAAGCAGTGCATGATGTTCTAGCAAATTAGTGTTCCCCAGGGTGCTTTTATTCATGGACATTAGTGTAGTTATTCTAGCAGTAGGAACCATATAATTCAGATAGCAAAGCTAAAGCATTCTTGCGTGTGTGTGTGTGTGTGTGTGTTTTAAAACATATGGAACACTTTTCTAGTGACTGACATTTTGGGGAATAGAATCAGGAGAACACAAGGCCTATATGTTTCTTAAAAATTAAGCAATGGGGGCAGTCAGCTGGGTTCTCGCAATG